TTGTTTCACATCAGCAAATGAAGTACCCCAAACCTTTTCCTCCATCCCAGTCATTAAGGTTGATTCTTCTTTGAGAAGGCAGCCTTTCTGTAGTCATATTTTACATACCTTCCAACCTGAGAATCTTATCTTCTGGCTCATCTATACTGTCTACTCTTACTGTATCAGGCAGTGCTATTCATGAAGTTTTCACTGGCCTTTTTTTCCCCCCCCAGAAATGAATTTCCAGATCCTTTTAGTCTATGTTAATCTAGAAGCACTACTGAAAGCTGTCTACCCTGATGACCCTTCTGGTATTTGAAATACCAATGTCATAGCTTCCAAAATCACAGCAACATGCAAGCCACTTCAGAATGACAAGCTTAAAACAAGTAGTAGTCTTTAGCATTCTTTAAATAAAATATTCATTAGGTGACAGTGATAAAACAAAATGAAAATTTATTAGTTCTGTCTTAATGGATATCTTCAAAAGTTTGTTAAAAGTTATGCTAGCCAGTGTCAAAGTATCTGGACTTTAAAAATATCTAAGCTGAAAAATTCTTAATAAATCTATAAGTGTATGATGTTGAATATCAGTAAATTACTTATTTAAGAATTATAACTTGATATGTGAATATATGTGATTTTTTACAGCATTATGGCCTGAGGCAAGTTGTACAACTGCCTGAGCCTCAATATCTACCATCTTAAAAATTGAGGGCCAAAAGAAAACATGTCTAGGTCAGAGGTTTTAAGTATTTATTTTTAGAAATCAGTTTATTCTTAAAAAAAAAAATACTATATAAAACAAAATTAGAGGTGTCCTGTTTTAAAAAGGGCTGGGTAATTTGTAACCATACGTAAATGTTGGCCATACTTTGTCCAGCACTGGCCTTTAACTACTTCCAATCCATATCTTTATTTAGCTATAATAATTAATAAATAGAAGTGCTCACGAAACCACCTGTAGGTATAATATCAGAAGCAATATCATCGTACTAAAATTGGACTAATATCACCACCAGTGTATTTACTAACAGTAAGAAGAAGCTTGGTTTTTTGTTTTGTTTATTTGGGATTTTTCTTTTTAACTGGTTCTGAAGATGATGATTTGGGAGGTATGACCATTTTTCCTAGTAGATATGTAAGGTATTTTTGCACATAAAGCTTCTCAAGAATGGCATGAGCCATTCACCATCTTTCGAGTGAATTAATAATGCATTCATTTGTCATGAGTCAGTGATATGTGGTGTCATTGAACCTAATAAGAAATTCAAATTACTTTTAAAACATTTTAGTTGCTTGAACCATGCTTTAGTTTCAAGGATTTGTTTTAATATATATAGTAAAAAAAATACTGTCTTTTGTTTTTAGAATCAAGTCATTTGGAACAGAAACTCGAAGAAGCTAATTCTGTGAAACGAGAACTAGATGATGCTTTTAGACAAATCAAGACTTATGAAAAGCAAATCAAAACATTACAGCAAGAACGGGAAGATCTAAATAAGGTAAAAATATATACAGTGGTGAACCCTCGTTTATCGCGGTTAATCGGTTCTAGACCCTACCGTGATAAATGAAATTCCGCGAAGTAGGATTCCTTATTTGTAAATCAAATAT